ATTTGAGCAGAATTGTCATCTTATTAATACCGAGTTTCCCAATCAATGAACAAGGTATACCTCTCTATCTATTTGATTCATTGTTAGTTTTTCTCAGCAATTGTTTTGAAGTTTTCAGGATACAAATCTTGACTTCTTTTGTTAAACTTATTCCTAAGAATTTTATTCATTTTTATGCTATTATGAGTGGAATTTAAAAAAATTTACTTTGAATTTTTATTGCTAGCATATATAATATACAGCACAAATATAACTCAGTTTTGCGTATTGATCTCGTATCCTGAAACTTTGCTGAAATCATTTGGTAGATCTAGTATTCTTTTTTTTTTTTTTTTTTTTTTTAATTTTTTGAAACAGAGCCTCAAGCTGTTGCCCTAGGCAGAGTGCATGGTGTTATAGCTCACAGTAACCTCCAACTCTTGGGCTTAAGTGATTCTCTTGCCTCAGCCTCCTGAGTAGCTGGGACTACAGGTGCTCGCCACAATGCCTAGCTATTTTTTGGTTGTAGTTGTTGTTATTTGGCAGGCCCAGGCTGGATTCAAACCCACCAGCTCTGGTGTATGTGGCTGGTGCCCTCGCCACTTGAGCTACAGGCACTGAGCCTCTAGTATTTTTTTGTGTCTTTCCTTTTTATATACAGTTATGCCACTGGTTTAAAAAAAAAAAAAAAGGACACTTTTAATTCTTCCTTTCCAATCTGGTGCCTTTAATTTCTTTCTTTTGCCTTATTGTACTGACTTGAATTTCTCTTTGAAGAAATATTTTTTAAAAGATAAAAGAGAAAATATTCCCAACAAAATGGTAGAATTTCTGCCTGTTTACATGAGAGGCGGCAGCCACAGGGGTACAGCACAAGAGAACTCTGAAGTGACACAGGAAAGGAACTAAACAAAACTTTTAGAAAACAGTAAACTATAATAATGTCCTTGGAAAATTAAGAAGTGGTACCCCATTTATAAAAGAGAGGGGAGTGCCAAGAAATTTTTGTTTCAGAGAGAAATGTTTTTGAGGATTGAATGCACGATGGCAGAAATAAAAAAACTAGACAGAAAAGTTAAGAGAAAGTTGGGGACATTTCCTAGAAAGTAGAACCAAAGTCAATGTTGGAGAGAAAAATAAGAAAATTAGAGTAACAAGTCAGAGGTCCAACATCCGACTCATAGGAGTATTACAAGGAAGTGAGAGAAGAAAATGATTCAGAAAACAGTGCACAGAGGAAGGACACGGTTCCCGTGAGGAAGGGCTCCTGACCACCTGGAGTGTTGGGTGGACAAATGCTGACGTCATAGCTCACACAGCATGCCGGTAACTTACTGGGGTCCAGGTGGGAAGGGAGCAAGTACAGGAATCAGGACACTGACATTTCTCAACAGCAACACCAAGAGTTAGAAGACCATGCAGAAGTGCCTTCAAGTTCCTGATAGAAATGTTTCCCAACCTATAATTCCACATCCAGTTAGAATATCAAGTATGAGGTTAGAATACGTGCATTTCATTGGAATGTTATCTCTCACGCTTTCCATTTCCCGGGAAGCTTCTGGAGAACACCCCATCGAGACAAGCGAGAGGGGTGGGGGTCTCAGGACACAATCCAGGTTGGGGGAGCAGAGAGTTCTAGGAGGGGATCTCCCCAAAAAAGATCTGTCATCCTCAGAATTCTTCATGCTCTATGCTGGGAGGAGATTCACGTTCCCTTGGGAATTCCGGGTGAATTAGTGGCACAGGCACAGAGAATACTAGGTAAATGAAAACGTGAACTCCCGGGAAATAAGCAGATGTACAAGAGAGGTGTGCAATCGCAGGCACTGTGGGCCTCTGGTCACCACGCAGCAGCAGTGACTCAAACAGGAAACATGCCCTTAATCCAGGATGAGTGAGGTCCACTCCACAGTCTCCTTCCCAGCTCTGCACCTCGGAATCTGGCCCTCGACCAACACAACTGCACCCACAGCTCCTGTGCCCCTGCCTCTGGGTGGCTTTGGCCAGTGGGAGGTGTGAAAATCCAGTGAAAGAGGCTGGGAGGGGGGACATTTGCTCCCTGGGCTCTGGGCCAGGATAGGGCTGGCAGCGGCTGGGTCCTGCTCCCGTAGCCCCGTGGCCCCATCTTTACTGCAGGCCTGGAAGCCCCAGTGGCCAGTCCCTGCAGATTCCTGGGACACTGCCTGCACCTTCCTGGACTGCCCTTCATGGAACCTCCTTCCTGAGCTCTCCTGAGTGCTCCTGGGTGCTTCCTACTGAGACCTGGCCAGAGTGACTGAGGAGGAGGCTGAGAGGAGGGCAAGGAAGCCCCAGTGAAGAGTGGCTGTGTCAGGAGAGAACTGGCCAGCACTGAGGACTTCAGTAGAGAGCCCTAAGCATGCAGGTGGAATGGGGACCAAAGACCCCATTCTTTTTTTTTTTTTTTTTTTTGAGACAGAGTTTCAATGTATGTCATCCTCAGTAGAGTGCATCACAGCTCACAGCAACCTTAAACTCTTGGGCTTAAGTGATTCTCTTTCCTCAGCCTCCCAAGCAGCTGGGACTACAGGCACCCACCTCAATACCTGGATATTTTTTTGTTGCAACTGTCATTGGTGTTTTAGCTGGCCAGCTCTGGGTTCAAACCTGCCAGCGCTGGTGCATGTGGCTGGCGCCCTACCTACTAAGCTATGGGCACTGCAGAAGACTCCATTCTTGGCAAGGGAAAACACCCCCCAGAAAAAGGGAAAATAAGAAAGTAAGCTGAGCAAGTTAGAACAAAGGAAAGTCAGCTAGTTTACCTTTAAACCAGCTGCTGTTAAATTTCTTATCTGAGCAAATTTCCTTCTTTTCCTGGAAGCCTGGCCTGTAGGGGACACAGCTTGCAATCGCCCCTGCTGGGTCTATAAGCACTTTGAAGGAATAATGGCCACAGAGGAAGCTGTGTGCAAGGTCTAGCAAGAAACATTAACTAGGCCATCCCCCAACCAGTCAATAGCCAAAGCAAATGCCCAGTGGAGATCTGTATTATGGCTGGGGCAGAGATCAAGGGAACAGATAGAGCCCTGAAATACAGGCAGGAGGGCTTATATCCCTTATCACAGAGGAAGATACCTCTGTGGTGGTAATGAGGAAAATTCCTCCCTCCCACCAATTCTTCAGAGGAGATTGACTCCAGTGGCATTTTACTCCAAGGTGAACTAGTGGATATTAACACCCCCCTAGGTATCTGTGTGTGACCACAGACAGGGGGCTGCCCCCACACAAGGCTTAGATTCTAGATTTCAAGACTGCTCAGACCCTTAAAGTTAATGATTATAGAAACAATAGGAGCTGATATGCTCACTCAGAGAAACTGCTGACATCTTTGTTCTCTTCCTCATCTTACCCTCTGGGATAATAAGCAAATAGCCTTCAAAAAAAAGTGTCAAGTGGAACTGACACTCGAGGCCACCCACTGGAACCCCACAAATAGGCGGTGGTCCCTGTGGTCCTACCTTTGAAAATTCTGTTCTGTGTGTCTTGTCTCTTTCTCTTGTCGTTTCTGACTACATTTTTCCAGTTGACAGTAACCAGATCCACAGGTCTTAAGGACCCTGCCCTGTGGGTGGTGCCTGGCAAAGCATGTTTCTGAAATTTTGGAATAAAATCTAAAACAACCAGCTGGAGGAGGTTCAAGTTAGTTGCCTGTGGGGGCCCAAACCAGGGGTATGAGGGAAGTCCAGGGAGCTGCTGTGTTGTAAATCTTTGTTTAAGAAAATAAGGTTGGCTTCCTTATCGCAGATGGAAGGGCTGCATGAGCCTGGGCAGTGAATGCCAACTGTCCTTTCCCTTCCCAGGACAGTCCAGGCTGCCTCCTTCCTATCCCTGCACAGGACAGCAGGTGCAGAGTCACACGACGTCCTGTTAGGATGCACCCAGGCCTCACTAGGGGTGTCCTGGGACAGATCCTTGGTTGTCAAGGGTGATGACATCATAGGCCCAGGGTGGATGGGGACTCTCATGGGTAGGTTGGAACTGGGACACTCTGGGGAGAGGCAGGGTCCTCAGGGTTGGGGGGCACCCACACGTACACCACAGCAAAGTCGCATTTACTTCTCAACTCCTTCCTGGCGGTGGGTCCAGAGGACCTGCGCCTTTCTGGAAAGCTGGTGTGGCAGTATACTGGAGGTAATCTCAGAAACCAGAGGCCAGTATAGCAGGGGCACATGGCTGTACCTCAGCACAGCCAGGCCACCTGGAGGGATCACTGAGCCCCACTAATGAGCAGAGGGGCTCTTGGCCCTGAGAAACATGGGAACAAGGTGCAGGGCACCCGCATCCATGTCAGCAAATTATGGAACATCCACTCACCAAGGGGTGAGGAGTGTGGGCACCACCCACCCGCACAGGTCAGATGTTCTCTTTGACTCATCACAGGTGGCCTCTGAGGGTGCAGACTCTGCAGATGCCTTGAGGCATCCCTGGCTTCTGGGACTATTCAGATGCACCAGATGAAGCCATAATGTTTGACCACACTGACCAACAGAACTGGTGATCTTGTGTTGCCCTGGTCTGAGAGCACCCAGGGGTACCACATGGCCCAGGGGCCACCGGGTCTGGCTCCTCTGGATCCAGTGTGGCTCTGGTTAAGACAGGTGATGCCTACCATCGAAACACAGGGCCCTGCTTGGCTTTGTGTATAACCTGGGATGTGATGAGGGGAGCCCTTTCATACACCCCTTGAGGAAATAGGGAATATTCTAGAGCAACAGTTCTCAACCTGTGAGTCGCAACCCACAGGAACTGTATTAAAGGGCCAGAGCATTAGGAAGGTTGAGAGCCACTGCTCTAGAGAGTTAGAAAGGGGCCCTGTCGGTATTGGGAGAGGGCAATCAGGGTCATGCCAGCCTGTGAGTTCTGAACTGCAGCCTCAGTCTCTGGGCTCCCCAGAGCCCACAGGGATGGCATGAGGGGCGTAAGCTACCTGTGCTCAGACAGCAGCAGGCAGTGAAGCCAGAGCCCCCAGTAGCCCTGCCCACCCCGCCCCGCCCGCCACATACCAGCCTGCGGATCTCCCGCTCACACTCCTTCTTGATGCGGCCTATCTCCTCCTGGTGCAGGTGGTACACGCTGCGGATCTCTGCAGCCTTGATCTTGTCCGCCTGCATTACCAGCGTCAGGGCCTCCTCCACCTGCTTCTTGGCGCCCTTGAGCTCCGAGATCTCCTGCTGCATCTTGACCTTCTCCACCTCGAAGCCCCTCTTGACCTCCTCCTTGGCCTCCGACAGGAGCACAGTCTTGACCTTGTCAGGGCCGCTGTCCCGCAGGGCGTGTAGCAGCGCCTGCAGCCGCTGGTTCTCGTTGTCCTTGATCTTGATGACCCTGAGCAGCTCAGCCTCATGCTGCCGCAGCAGCGTCTCACGCACAGCCTGCAGCTCCTTCATCTTCTCCTCGTGCAGCTTGGTCTTGAGCTCCGTGAGCCCCACGGCCGCCTTGTGCTGCTCATGCTCACGCACCTGTCGCAGCTCCTGGTTCTTCTCACGCTCCACTCTGCTGACCTGAAAGGCAAGGGCGACACTCGGGGTAGCAGGGGCGCCAGCCACTGGGAGGACCGCTTGGGGGACTCTTTTCCATTCTAAAATCTCCCCTTAAAATGTCTATTATGAGAGCATTTCAAAATGTATATGAAAACAGCACACTGTGGCTCAAGTGGCTAAGGCGCCAGCCACATACACCTAACGTGGTGGGTTCGAATACAGCCTGGGCCCGCCAAACAACAATGACGGCTGCAACCAAAACAAAAAATAGCCAGGCGTTGTGGCGGGTGCCTGTGGTCCCAGCAACTTGGGAGGCTGAGGCAAGAGACTCACTTGAGCCCAGGAGCTGGAGGTTGCTGTGAGCTGTGCCACGGCACTCTACCCAGGGGGATAGCTTGAGGCTCTGTCTCAAAAAAAAAAGAAGAAAAAAGAAAAAAGAAAAGAAAACAGCACACTGTACCCCATGATTACATTAATGTACACAGTTATGCTATAAGAAATAAAAAGAAAAGTAAAATAAATAAATAAATAATAAAAAGTCTATTAAAGGCAGAGCCCGGGCAGTGCCTGTGGCTCAAGGAGTAGGGTGTCAGTCTCATAGGGGGTGGCGGGTTCAAGCCTGGCCCCTGCCAAAACTGCAAAAAAATAATAATAATAATTAAAATAAAGGCAGAGCCCAAGCTGACTGATGGAGAGTATGAGTGTGCAGTCCTGGGCACTCCAAGAACTTGGGTGTGGGCATCACCAGCCTGGAGCATCCGCCCTTAACACAAAGTCCCTGAAGCCTGTGCCCCAACTCCTAGCACAATTCATGCTGGGAGGCAGAGCCCAGACCACTTATACAAATTTGCTAGGTGGGTGGGAGATTTCCTTTGGACACAGCCCCACATGGATGTCCAATGGGAATCTGCACAGTGACATGTCCAGAACAGAGCCCTAGTGTCCTCCTAGCGCTCCAGCCCGGTGCTCCCACACAGATGGGAAGGGAAGCCCCACCATCAAACTCAGGCCTAAACACAGGAGCTGTCCTGCACCCACCATCCACCCTCATACTCTGTACTGGCTCTGCCCACATGGCCTGGCCTCTCAGCCTGTGTCCACCTACAGCTGCCACCCTTGGCCAAGGCACAGATCTCTGAGAGGGCCCCTCCCACAGCAGCCAGATGATTTTTTTTAAATGTCAGTACACTTTAAATGTATAAATATACTTATGACATATAATATATAGCTGTATGTCAGATCATGGCCAGGTCCAAGGTCTTCAAGGCCTCACCATGCCTGGAGAGTACCCAGGTTCCCTGCCACGGCACAGCAGGAGGCCCAGTGATCTGCCCTCTGTTTACCTGGATGACCAGCCACACCATGGCAGGAGGCTCAGATGTCTGCCCCTCATCGGCCCAGATGACCAGCCCCACCACAGAAGGAGGCCCACTGGTCTGCCCCCTATTTGCCCAGGAGACAGCTCCCCTACTGTCATCGACAGCGCCCCTTCCACTGAAGTATCCTGTCCAGATAAATATCATTTCTACCCCTACCCTGACCCCACCTGCAGGGCCTGCACCTGACCTCTGTGGACCTATCCTGCCGCCCTCCCAGTGCTCTGGTGAGCCACACTCAGCCCCACATTTCTTGAAGATCCACCTGGCATCCCCTGTCCTCAGAGTCTCCGAGGCTCTAAGGCCTCCTGTCCTGCTCAGTGGCCATCCCAGGCCCATCTGACCATCTGCTGGCTCCTCCCCTCCTCCCTGTCCCGTCCTGTCCCCGCCCCTACTCCCTGTCCCATGCACACAGCTGTCCAGCACATACTTGCTGAGAGGAGCTCAATAGGAAGCCCAGACTCCCATGGGGATCTCCCACCTACACCTCAGAACCAGGATCTTGTGTGACTTTGTGGGTGCTCCATAAAAGGTGGGTTTACTGGTGGGGGTACTCTCTCTGCTCCCTGCATCAGCTCCTCTCCACAGTTAGAGGTGTTCCTGAAGCTGGTGGCATGGCCTGAAAGGGGACCGGAGCAGGCCAGAGCTGGGCCCAGGAGAACTGACCAGGGCCAGAGCCTTCAAATCCACAACCACACACGACTATGTGCCGTGATGTTCTTCTGCTGTAAAGGAGCCCACAGTTGGCTTTCTCTACGACAGCTCACTTTGACAGGGCTCCTTTTACCCTTCCGCCTTCCAGCCCTCCTAGGAAGACAAGAGGGTCCATCCAGACAGATCTGTCACCTGTTGACAAACACCCGACTCAGCAGGACTCCGCCTGGGCAGGCCCTGCTGATCCAGATGAGCAGACGTCAGAGTCCCTTGCTGGATGTCTGCAGAAACAGGCAGTGCTGTGCTAGCCATGAACCTGGTGGCCTAATGTGCAGGGGGGGGGGGGTCCCTGTAGCTTTCAGGAGCAGCAGTCTCTCCCCCACTCGAGCCTGGTGAAGACTCGCTGATCTGGGACCTGGAGCTTACCCCTGGAGTCAGCTGGACATCCCCGTAGGCCCTGTGTCCTCCACGGCCTGGAATGCACTGCCAAACCTCAAACATGGACACACAGACCCTCTCACATCAGCAGTGCCACCACCCACGAGAACATGTCCAACGAGGACCTCGCACACAGGCAGGCAGCTGTCTTGGCAGAAAAATGGGAGCAGCCTGACTGCCATCAACAGGCCCACACCTGAGTACACGTAACTAAAATGAATGGGCCCCGAGTGGTGCCGTCATGCCACCCAGGACCATCTCCAGGAGCGCCTGCCTGCAGCTAGGCACAAGGAAGACGGGGAGCCCCATGGAGAGGGTACAATATGGCATAAGAAGGGGAGCTCTGGCCCACGTGCTCAGGAACCATAGCTTGAGCCCCTCTGGGGAGGGGTCTGGGGACAGGGCTCCCACGGGAGGCTTCTCATCATGTGCCTTTCCTTTGGTTCCTTCTGAGTTTTGTGCTCAGAGGGCACATTGTCTTGTCCAAAAATAAACATGGACTGCAGGACAGACAAAAGGGTCTGCATGGCAGCCCTGGGACTCCCTCCTGTGCCTGGAGAGCCCTCAAGCCCACCAGGCTCAAGCCGACAAGTGAGGAGAGAAGAGCCCCTCAGGAGGCTGCCATGTGGACGCATTTGGGCAAAAGCTCACATAACACATGTGAGACTCAGCTGTAACTGAAAACACGCGTGATGTCCTGTTACCAGGCGGGCCCCGACTCCAGCCCTGAACTCAGTGATTTCCACCAGGTGGTGTTTCTTTGCATTGAAAAGATAATTGTGATATTTTTACTGAATAAAACAAGGGGTTTCACTCTTGCTGAGCACTAAGCAAGTCCTCTCTTCTCCTCTTTCACCTGCGAACGGGGCAGCAGGAAGGCAAGAGCCAGGCCCAGGACGTCATTGTGGCCGGACCCCAGTCTCAGCCTGGGGACTTTGTGCCTGACCTTGTGCTCTAACCAGGCGGCGAGTCCAGGTATCCCTGGGCACCTGGTGCAGAGAAGGTGCTAGATGCACATCTGCCAATGTCATCACTGTGCCCATGGCCTGGGCCCCGAGGATGGGGCTCCTCAGTACTGCCAGACTGTGGTGCTGCCCTGGGCCCCGTGCAGAGAGGAGGGCAAGAGGGGAAGTGGTGAGGACAGGGGCCCTACAGGGTTTCGAGCCTATGGGCCTCTCCATGGACAACACGTGAGTCAGAACGTACGGCTGTGCCCTAATCCAGCTTTATGTAGGGACACTGAACCCTGAATGTCACATGATCATTGTGCATCACAACTTCTGCGCAACCAGGGGTTACATTACAGGAGGCTGGGTGGCTCAGAGTTTTGGCAACTGCCAAACTAGTCTGACTCCTGCGCACCACCAGCCCCCTACTTCCCAGACGGACGACCCCCCAGCCAGGGGCCCAGTAGCACCAGCTGGAAGGGCCCACCCTGCCTCCTGCTACTCCCACAAGACACATTCTACTTAGCCTCTCCTTCTAGGAGTTCTCACACAGTTCCTGGGGGGAGCACAAAAGTCATACCAGAGGTGAAAGGAAGTTCAGACTGGCAGTGGCCCACCCCAGGGTATGGCCTGGTGCTGAGGGAGTCTGTCCCCAGACAGGCATCTCCTCCTCAGAGGCCCCTCTGCTGCCAGCACAGCTCAGCTCTCCCTGCAGGCTTTGAGGACCCCAAAGTGCTGGACGTGAGGCTGCAGCCATCACAGACTTGCCCAACAGGAGACTGTGGGTCCCTGGACTTTACCACCCGCTCCAGGCTCGCCCAGCACCTCCCACTTGGGGAACCAGTGCTGCTCCTCCCAACAGGAGGCTCAAGGAGCCAGACCTGCCTCTGTTTCAGCTCAGCTCCAGTGAGGGGCATCCAGCAGACGCAGGGGGTCGCCTCCAGGGAGGGCTTTTTGACAGAGCCCCCGGCACTGAGGTCCCCCCGTGCATGCCTGTTCAGGAGTCACCTTGGGCTCGGAGGCATGGCGCCCCTCCCCACCAGACCCTTGACTCTCCCCAGTGCTGCCCCCCAGCCCCAGCCCCTGGGGTCTGTCCTGAGCAGCTGCCCCTCTGAGCAGGGCCAGGAACCCACCTTGCTCTTCTCCTGCTGCAGCTCAATCTGGATGTCGGTGAGCTTGGCTCGCAGCTCCTCGTTGGCCGCCTGCAGCGCCGCCAGAGCCTCCACCTTGTCCCCCTTGGCTCGGCTGCCTGAGCCCTTCTTAGACATGGTGGCTGGATGGCGGGTGGGACCCGGGGCGGGATGCTCCCTCTGGGTTGGGGTGTCTGTGCCAAGCTCCAGCGGACGTCACCTCAGCTGTTGTGCACTACATCTTCTCACTCACCTGTGGGGAAAGCACAGCTCAGGTGAACAGATGGCTCCTGGAGAGCCACAGGGGCCTGGGCCTGGACGCTGGTGAGACTGCACACACCAGGGAGCCGGCCCCAGACCACAGAGCCGCCTACCCTGACGGTGTCCCCACACTGGGACCCCACACGTGAGAGCATGTCTCCTTGCCTAGCACATAACGAGCACTTGGTCAATGTTAATTCTTTTCCCTCCTAGGAATAAGAGGTCGGCTTCTCACATTAAGCCCAGAATTGCATACATGCATTGCCATGCAATATGATGGCAATGGTGGGTCTGAACCACGAGCTCCCCAGATGGTGGGTTGGGGACTGTGGCCCCAGGCTCCTCCACAGGGACCCACAAACTGTGTCTAGGAAACACCCACAAGCACTAGAAACAGGGTCCTGGTGGCATCTGCACTCCTTGGCAGCATGGCTCACGACAGCCAGAGGGGAAATGGCCTATGTCCACCCAACAATTGACGGTTAAACAAAACATGGATTCCATGGAATGGAACATTGTTCAGCCTTAAAGGAATGAAGTCAAACTCGTGGGTGAATCTTGAAGATACAGTGTTAGGTGTAGTCACCAATCACAGGGACCAATCTGTATGAGTCGGGGTTTAGAAACACACTCGGTCTCTAATGTGGCCATAGGGAGGAGGATGGGGGCTGTCAGGGGCTGGGAGAAGAGGAATGGGGAGTCTGTTTAACGGGGACAGACTTTCAGGTTTCCAAGATGAAGGAGTCGTAGAGATCTGTTGTGTAACAATGAGGATATAGTCAACACTACTGAACTATACAATTAAGCATGGCTTGCTGGTAAATGTTTTGTTATGTGTTAGGGCTAGCATGTTAAAAAAATTTAAAAATAAAAAAACTTCCTCCAGAAGTGAGGTACACCCCACAGGCTTCCACATGTAAATTTGGGACAGATGAGGGGGCAGCAACATTCAGTCCGTGCCCCCTCCAAGTTGGAGAGCAAGGCGTCACGGCATTTTACATGTGACCTGAGGAGCCACTGCCTTCCTGAGGACTGGGAGTCACGTCTTCTGTGCCTCCAACTCTGCTTCCATCTCTAAAGGAATCTACACTTAGCTGTTAGGTGTGCTTTCTGGCATGAAATGAGGGGTGCCATTTCTGAAAACACCCAGTAGAGGACGTTATAGCTTGGTCGTGTCCTTCAAAACTCATATTTTGAAGTCTTAACCCCCAGTATCTCAGGATGCGACTTTATCTGGAAACAGGGCCCTTGCAGATGAAATCAGTTAAGAGAAGGTCATCCCAATGTCAGGGGCCCAATACAACATGTGAGGGTCCAACAAGCAGGGGAAACGGGGCACAGAGACGACTTGCACAGGGAAACTATCACGTGAAGACTGGCTTCTGCTGCCACAGGCCACAGGACTCCAGTGGCCAGGAAGGAGCCTGGACGGGGCTCCCTGTGACCTCAGGGGAATGTGGCCTCACTGGCACCCCAATGGTGGACTGCTGGCCCCCAGGAGTTTCTGCTGCTTAACCACTGGGTTTGTGGCAGTTTGTTAGAGCAGGTATGGGAAGCCAGAACAGAGAAAAAGGCAGAAAGGAACCAGAGAGACGTGGGGACCCTCCCAGTAAGGATGACAAGAAGGGACGTGGGGACCCTCCCTGGAAGGGTGACAAGAAGAGACGTGGGGACCCTCCCTGGAAGGGTGATGATGGCTGAGACCAGATGATGCTGGTCTCCCAGAGACCCTCAGGCTGAGCACGGCCCCCTGTACCTGGCAGACGGGAGCTGTGATGTTTCTGCCCCCACTCTTCCTGGGAGGAGGGACGCAGAGTGAACATGCTGGAAAGAGGTTTATCCCCAGGGGACTCAGGCACTGGGAGCAGCTTACACACACACCCAGCCGTCAAGGGCCTGGGGCTGGAGGAGGTGGGTAGGCCTGGCCCAGCCCTGCTAGGCACTGCTGGGCACTACTGTGCACAGACCTGGCCAGGGCAGAAGCTGGGCCCACAAGTACCATCAAGGGAACCTCGAATTTCCCCTCCCCCTGTCCCTCTCCAGGAAGATGCAACCCCAGCAGGATATTGGGCGCCAAGAGTCCCTGAGCCAGGGGACTCTGGGCCGTCTGCCCTCCCCGGGATGGCAGAATTCTGGGACCATGTTTCCAAGAAAGAGGTAGGCTGAGCCATGCCCAGGGTGAGATCCCACAGCTTAGACAGAAGGTCTAGTTTGTCAAGACTGTGGCCTCCACAGACACCCATGGACACAGAGCACATGGATGGGGCGTGGATGACCAATTGAGGGACCCCAGACATTTAACTCAGGCCAGGGTGTGAGATGGGGGAGCGTGTGTCAGTACAACATGCAAAGAGCTACTCACACCTCAGGCAGGAGGGTTGAGCACACCTGCCATCCACAGCAAGGCCAGAGCTGGCTATATGGTGGGAACTGGGGCTCGTGCATACACCAGGGCCCAGCCTTCCTCCCCACAGCTCCGTGAGACAGGAAGCCAGAGCCGCAAGGGGCACAAGTGTGGACATGCAGCCACACCTCCAGGTACCGTGGGAGTCAGCCCAGGGCCAGCCTCTCCTAGGTCCCAAGCCCACAGGCCACTCCAGCCCCAGTGCAGGTCCTCAACTGCCTTGGGCCCTGCCCATGGGCCCTGAACCTGGGGCCTTTCTCAAACTGCCACACCCCAAGGCACTAGGCATCTGGGCTGGGGTCCTTCATGGCCCTGCCCACCTAGAGCCCACACTGCCTGGGCCTCCATCCTCCCTGCTGGGCCTTCCCAGCGTCTCCAGGTTGGCCACAGAGCTGCCCCTTTGGGGCAGTAGAGGAGCCATATTGGACTTGTTCTATTCTAGTTCCAAACACTTCATGGGAAAGCAGGAGGCTTCCAGGGTCCCACGGGTCACTGTGAGGATGGTGGTCCACAGAAGAGGAGGAGCGCGGTAAGCCCTGAGCCACATGGTGTCCTTGGTGGGGCCTCCCAGGGCGCCCTCACTCTCACACACAGCAGAATGACAGAGGTGCACACCGGCTCCGTCATCTCACAGCAGCTCACACGGCCCTCAGAAAGCTGTGTCTTCCTATAAGTGATTTGGGATCAGTAAAGCCTTTGTATTGGCACTCGTGTTTGTCCATACATTTCTTTCTTTTTTTTTTTTTTTTTGAGAC